ATTGGCAGATGGTCACTGCCTGTAAGAGGTCCCTGTATTATATGGTAATTGAAAAAGGCTTTGTTGTTGGTAAAAATTTTGTCTGGTGTCGATTGTGTATTGTGATTTCTCCAGGTTGGAAAGTTAGGACCCAGATGATTGATTTTCCCTAAATTTATTAATTGATTAAGGGCGTTTCCCACGACGTTATTATTTGTATTGTCAAAAATCCTATGTCTGGCGTTAAAGTCTCCTAAGATGTACATCGGATGACTATTGTTAGCCAATTTTAATAGGTCTTCTATAGGTAAGTAGTAGCAATAATTACGTCTCCTTGAGTTGTATTTATTTTTATTGCTAGAAATTCATCCTGGAAGTCATCAATTAGTTTAAATTTTAAGTTTCTTTTAACCGCTATCGCTACTCCGTCATTTTCTCGCCCGATTTATTTCTTTGGTTTACATAATAGTTAAAGAGTTTTATGTTGTTGTTTTCTGTCTCACCGTGACTGTTTATTAGTATAATGTCAGGGTCAATTTCGCGATATATATTACTTAGGTTAATTCTCTCGGTCTTCCAGTTTCTTACGTTGTGTTGTATTATTCTTAAAGTTCTTACTGTTTGTCTATTGTCCATTATTTCTTATACTTGGATTGTGGCAGTCAGTTGGATTGGAGACCTATCATCCTGTTTCCCGCTTCTGACTCTTCTATACTCTGACGGGTCTACTATTTTAAAGTCTTTGGCCGTAATCTTTAGTTTGTCCGTAGTAATTAGTGACCAGACATAATCTTCACTTAGGGATTTTTCTTGATATGTCCACTTGTATATCCCTCCTTCACAGTTTTTTACTATTGTCCCTCCTGTTGGTCTCGATGTTGGGATTCCATGTTTTGTTGTAGTGATAACTTTTAATCCAATTTCTTCAGCAGATTCAGGTTGTATATTGTGATCAGTTTCCATCTTATCTTCTCTCCTCCTACTCCTTTGTCTGTCCTTTTGTTATTTCTATCTTCTCTTTGTCACTTCTAGTCATTTGTCTGGGATCTCTATCAGTCGCTTGTGTTCCTTTTGTATCAGCTGTTGCTCCTTACTCAAACCTTTGTTCGTCTTGATGTAGTCTTTCTCTCAGTTCGCTTGCATATGTTGTCTGAAATAGTTTTCGGATTGTGGATTCTCTGGAAATATCATCTCTGGTAGGTTATTCAATTTAAACATTTTCCTTAATTCCTCATTGTATGATCCGGGTGCAATGATATTGTGCAAATATTATGGATCATACTAATCATTCTATATCATGTATTGTTGGCTCACTTAGGTTTAATACTGTGGATTCTGGTCTAGGCCTCTTGGACCACTCTCTTTGCTATTTGTTGTATGTATCCCTTCTGTCTTGTTCCTTTTTCCTTGTTTCTTGTACTTTATCATGTGTTTTTTTATTGGGCATGCCATTGCTAACGATCCTGTAATACTATGTATACATTCCCGTTTCTCTTACAGTTGAGACAGCCAACATGTGTGATTCTTACATTCAGTGTAGGTATGGTCGTCGCCTGCACAATCTGAGCAGTACTTTTTTTCTTTTTTCGGACAGTCTCTCGTTGTGTGTTCTTCATATTTGTAGCAGGAGAAGCAAGTTTGCAGACTGATGAATGTCTCCTTCTTTATTTGATGTGGTGTGACTGACATGTTGAATATTAGAAAGCCCTGTTGTAAAACTTTCTCAGCCATTGACACTTCTTCAAACATGAGTATAGTCCTTTATCTTAATGACTTCTTCCATCTTCATCCACCTATTTTGGCGTTCCAGTTCTTCTTTCAGGTCTTCCTCCCGATCTCTTGATCGACTTGACGAACAAAAACTGATCTTTTTGCTTTTTGTTCTGGTGGCATGACAACAATAAGGCCTTCATTGTAAAATATATCTCTTGCTTCTTTTGAAAGGATTTTATCTGAATCAAAGTCATCTTTACAGATTACTTTAAAACCTTCATTGGTGCTGAATATTCTAGTTAGTGGGACTTGCAGTTTCCCTTATCTCTATGTTTTATTCTAATGCTAGTTGTCATCTTCTTGATTACATCTAGTACCTATAACACAGGGCTCCTGCCTGGGAGCAGTGACCCACCCCCACTGGACGGGCGTCGGGCTCTGCACCCAGGTTACCTGTGACTATAGTAATATCTAAAGTACCACCTACCGGTGACCCCCAGACAGTGCCTGCTATCCACAGTTCCTTGCCGGATCGACCGTATCTTGAAGTCCCTGCTCCCGTTCAAAGAACGGAGTGCATGAGGGAGATGAAAAAAGGAAAGAAGAGGACTTAGAGAGTAGAAACAGCCTACCTACCACGCCACGTTCGGTCAGCCAATCAGAGCACCGCAGTAAACGTGCATGTATCACGCCACCGTGGGGCACCACTGATTGGCCAATCCAGGACGTAGACGCACGGGTAGTAGTCAAAATTTGGGTAGGCCAAATATTTGTTTTTTCCAAAGTTGGAATTTCCCGTACAATCTGTGATGGTAATTACACCGTCACTATGTTGAGTAAGTACAATCACTAGGATTGAGTGTCTTATCACAACAAAGTTGCAGACTCAAACATGCAGCAAAGAATCAGGTCTTCGCGCTCCGTGTCTATTTTTACTTAGGCTAAGCATACCTAAGTTAAAACAAACTCCCTTGCCAATACAAGAAGGAAAGTTTCTTATAGTCCTAATAAACAATTCATCATGACCAAGCCCGGTATCTAACACAGGGGTCCGGGGCGCAGCCTTCCATCTTTCTTTCATTTGATTGCATTATCTCTGAGAATAGTTAGCAAATTATCCATTTGATTGCATTATCCCAGGTTAAGGGTTGTGTGTGGTTCCATATCACCAGATTTATTAAAAAACTCTACGTCAGGTAAACAGTTTAGGCTAGATAGTGGTAGCTGCTTGGATTATTTCTTTGTCTCTTATTGACTCGGGTGGCTAACCTCTATAAAATTGAGGACACCAATAGGGCTGTACTAAGGTTAGGTTAACCAGACCCTTTTTGCTGTAATGGAGGATTTCGCCATCGGGGAGGCGTGAAAGCGAAACCTCCGGCGAAAATAGTGGTTAGGTTAGGCGGCCCGGTAGTGGTTGGTTAGTTGCCTGTATTATTATTATTATATAAAATTTAAATTCCCCGTTAGACTTTACCACGGTCAGGCTAAACAGTTTGGCTGCTTGGATTATTTCTTTGTCTCTTATTGACTTCGGGTGGCTAACCTCTATAAAATTGAGGACACCAATAGACTTTATACTAGGTTGAGTTAAACAGACACTTTTTGCTGTAATGGAGGATTTCGCCATCGGGGAGCGTGACAAGAACTCCGGCGAAGAAAACCAGTGGTTAGGTTAGGCGGCCCGGTAGTGGTTGGTTAGTTGCCTGTATTATTATTATTATATAAAATTTAAGGTCCCCGTTAGACTTTACCACGGTCAGGCTAAACAGTTTAGGCTGCTTGGATTATTTCCTTGTCTCTTATTGACTTCGGGTGGCTAACCTCTATAAAATTGAGGACACCAATAGACTTTGTACTAAGGTTAGGTTAAACAGACACTTTTGCTGTAATGGAGGATTTCGCCATCGGGGAGCGTGACGAAACCTCCGGCGAAAGTAGTGGTTAGGTTAGGCGGCCCGGTAGTGGTTAGGTAGTTGCCTGTATTATTATTATTATATAAAATTTAAGGTCCCCCATTAGACTTTACCACGGTCAGGCTAAACAGTTTAGGCTGCTTGGATTATTTCTTTGTCTCTTATTGACTTCGGGTGGCTAACCTCTATAAAATTGAGGACACCAATAGACCTTGTACTAAGGTTAGGTTAAACAGACACTTTTGCTGTAATGGAGGATTTCGCCATCGG